GGAATTATTAAAATTCCTAAAATTCGGAATTATAACAGCATTACCTATGGTTGCAGACCCCCATCCTGACCGCGGTGTCCTTGCGAAAACACATGACACAATTCCAAATTCATTTATATCTGGAAATACAGGCTGCCTCTTAAGAGAAGAGCTCTCAAAAGGCGGGTTGCCCAGTCACTGCTAGAAAACAATTTTTGTGCAAATACAATGATGTATACAATGACAAGTTGCTTTGAAAGAAATGTGCTTACAGTAGATCAGATGTTTCCTCAGCTGTTCGACCAATTTGGCGATTGCTTGCACACTTTGCCTCACGAGTAGTGAGAAATCTGCCGGCGAGTGGTTGCGTTGCTATATCCTTCTTACCAGCCTGCGTTTATGTACTGATTCAAAGTGAATCGGATATAACTTGATGTGATCTGCTGATCGGTACGCACTCCAGTCACACTGGAATCTGATTCACAAGTACTTAATGCACACCAGTGATCAATATTTCGATACATTGTCAACAGGAACGGAAATCCGCTGGTAGTGCCTTTAGATCAACATGTGGCACCATTTTAGAACAAAACGGTCGAGAGTCCAACTGTTCAAGCTGAAGTTCTTCCACACTTTTGGATTGGTCCTGTTTGATGAGGCTTTGCTCTTCATGAAAATCTTCTGAGTGAGCAGGCTTTAACTACCTGTCTGCTCAGATGGCCTTTGGACGCCGTCCAAATTAGGCTGCTCCAGGGTACTCTGATCGTCACCGGTCTTATGGAGCGTCAAAGGCACAACTCAACCGAAAGATAGTGACAACATCGGTCAAAGAATTAAAAAACGGACATCGAATTATTGAAGGACTTCAGGGTGTTTGAAGTTCCTTTTGGACTAAACTGCTTACGCATCGTCAGGGCTACCTCTGTGGAAATCAACTAAGTAGTGGATCATTGCTCAGGGGTGGGAGTCAAAGAGCAGCGTGTTGTAGAATTCCCAAATACAACTGAGGCAAGTCATTTTCTACGCTACGGTTGTCTGTTTTCTGATTGGTTGTTGAAATAATCATACAATGCATATGTAGTCAAAATCACTTAACAAGCATTTACCAATACAAACTGTACGCTCTGTTGCTTGTCGTATGCAAAAATAATTTAAACGCTTTATTCGGGTGAATCAATCCGATAGCACTCCGGTGCAGTCCTGTTTACGTCAGTCAGTTTACGACCGAGCCATGAGCAAAACAGTTTCTCGGGGTAACGCTCAAAGCAAGCTTTCCCAAGGGGCGGTCACTTCCAAGAAGAGCGCGATTTTAGACCCTACCAGTGTCGCTGTGTGGGGTCAATTCGACGGTGCACTGTGTGCAATAGTCTTATTTCATCTCATAAATTTTGGTTTAATTCTTGGAAGATTGTTTTCAAGTTCTCCATTCTCCCGCTTCTTGGTTGTTTGTGCAATATTGTCTCACAGATAAGAATATAAGAGTAGACCTCAATATCTTCTGTGAATCCGATGACAAAAAGCACTAGACAGAATAACCATTCACAAAGTGTTTTAGAAAGCGGATTTAAAGTGACTATGCAGTTTAGGTATTTCAGAAATGCGTGTTAATTAGTGGGGTGCAGATATGTTTTGTCGGTGCTCAAGAACTTTCAGTACAAGGCCGAGTACGAAACCTTGATGACACAACCTGCTATTTATGTAGGTTGAAAAATGCTACACAGCCTGCTTCCGGTTTTTTACTTCCTACAACCCTAGCGAAAGGTCCATTGCATCTAGCTCTGATGAGCCATGCAGCCAGAAGTCCTGTTCAAAGGTTTCGCGAAAGCTGATATTCGATTATCGTCAGAATCCGGTTGTTAAACACTTCCAATCGATACCGGCCCATCCAGGATCGCAATCCCGAGGCCTGTTTGCAGGATCCCCAGATTGTTCTTGGTCGAAGCTGACCACTGGTAGTGCTTTTCTTTTGTTCTTGTTGCTGGGTGATTGTGTTGTGTTAAATATTGCTTGATCAGATGACCCCAGATTAATCTCCCAAAAGGAAAATTGGCAGCCCATTACTGAAATTGGACTATTGTCGGTGCAAATTCTGATTGATATTCTACTAATCCGACTGACCTGATGGATTATGATTTATTCGGGTGAGTGATAAGTAGAGGGAGGTTGAAGGAATTTTTACTCTGTTTTTATTATTAATTTTGGAAAATATTCGATGAACGTGTACAGATCTCAGATGTTCCACATGGTGTACTAGTAAAAGGAAGAAGGCCTTCATTGCGGAGGTATTTATTAGAAAATGCCAACCGAACAGTTACAGATTGTTGGACAGGGAAGCAAAATTCTCATATGCATTTTGTTTACAAAAGCTGAATATCCATCCTCTCTTTAAACGCGTCTTCCTCAACCTTGCTGGATATTCATTGACTGTTGCTCAAATCCAAGCAAATGCCACAAAGCGACTCTACAATCTCCGCAAGAAATCTCCGTTTTCAAGAGACGCAAAGCAAATTTACAAGAAAAAACATACTACCCGCATGCCTTCCCCATCAGCAGTATCAAAATTACCCTGGTTGCCATTTCCGATGTGATGGGCCACATCGAACTAGGATGATGCCCACTCACGCACAATGGGTATTGTATGATACAACTTGTTCTGAACCGCGTATGCGTCCACCTGAACGCTCTTAGGCCAGTGTAAACCTGAAGGAATGAGAAACTAGGAAGGGGCCTTTGAACACAGTGAGTCAGGTAATGGTGATAATTTCGAACAAAAAACCGCAACGTTCCTCAACTAATCTCATTTGATTGCAATTTTGGTTTTGATGGAAGGCTCAACTAAGTTCGGGCAAGTTCCTTGTTTAAGATGCTTCTCTTTAGCTGAATGTTCTACACAAGGTTGCCTAATGTTTTAGTTAGTTTGATATGCGCAATGTCGAGATAATTTTTTTTCAGTAGCCCAATAAGTGACACGACAAGTCTGGAAAATTCCGATTGTTCTGAGTGCCACTGAACGGCGCCATGAATCGGTCATTCCGTCGAATGTAGTGATCAACCAAGTCCATCGGGCTATGTAATGGCACTACTCTGGCTATCGGAATAACCTTATATCCTATGTCCTCTATGGTTTCGAGATATGTGCAAAGATAATCATATAGGCCCTGGAGCGCTCCGGATGACAGTTTGATGGTAAAAGCCTTCCGTTCGCACTCCCACTCCAAAATTGAAAAGTTCATGAGTTTGCAAACATTTCACTGAAAATTGTCAAAAGATTTTAAAGTAGACCGATCATAATGGTTGCTTCACATCTGTTGGCAATTGTTAAAAGCTGACCTATTAAAATATTGCTGTCTGTTTCACCGTGCTGCAAGGCGTGGAGTAATCGGTTCGAATAGTCAATCAGTTTGTGTGATAGCAATGCCATTAACCAACACACGCACTTTCAATGGTGGAATGAGAAAGTTCTCCTTCCCATTGTTACTTCCGTTTTTGTTGCTAAGTAATGGTGGTCAGTTAGTTATTGCTTCAGTTATGTTTCTACCTCGCATCACACTCAGCATATAACGGGAGCGATTTCAACTGGATTTAGCTGAATGACCCTTCAACTCTAATTTTACTCGCAAAGAAGTCTTTGTAGATACATACATACTATTTCGTGTTGCTATACGAAACGAGCATAATAGAGATTCGGGGACTGTCTGACAAGCCCCAAGGAAGGTGAGGTGGCCGTTGGCTTCAGAGAACCTTCATAGACCACATGAGTAGTCTTGGAAGAGACATGTTTTTTGTTTTTTAATAACCTGCAAGTTGGCACATTTGTTCAATTACCGTGGTCCACTTTGTCAATCCAAGTGGGACTTGTCTGGATATTACGACATCTTAGTTATTCCAATTTTTCTCTATATCTTGGGTGTTGTGATCCAGCTGTTAACATGAAACTATCGTGGCAGTCACGCAGTCTAGTTTTAGTAAACGTTTCCTTCTTTTCTACGTGTATGTCACTTCAACAAGTGGCTCGATCAGTGGGTTGTGAAATCGAAAAGCTATGCTTGGTGCGTCGTACAATGGAATTCGGAGTCCCACATTTTCGTGGGCCTTAGAGTGCTGAGCAAATCAGGATCGTATATAGTCCGGAAGGCAGTGTGTGAATGCACATTCATTTTAAAACAAATCAAACGGTTACTTGCCAGGTGTTTTTCACCATTATTGACCTGACATGGTACCGAATGACAGCTGAGTCGAGATCACAGTTTATGGAACAAGTTTGACAAAAACACGATTTATGAGGTTGCAGAATAGTCTTGGAACTCATCAGGTTCGCGCAGTCCTCAGCTGCCATCAGTGTTACTTTCAACCCGTACACTCAGTTGTAGACAGATGATGAGGTGCGAGCATCTGAAAATTAACTTGGTTTTAACCGAATTTTTCTGACTTTGAGCTCGGGACGGCTCGGCCATTAAGGCGTGAACTTTCTGACCGGAAGGTTACTATTTGAGGGCCCCTCTTCGTATCTCGAATGCTTCCCTCTAGACTTGGACAAGATGGCAGTACCTAAGCTTTGCGTTACTTTGTGTGAGACAGGAAGTAAGCACCGATCAGTTTTGTCCAATCGCACTGTGCACAGCTGCTCATGGCCAAATGACATCTTCACCAAAGATTGGCTTCAGTGACAAGGTGAAATCTGAATTGAAGTTTGTTGCTTATTTTATTGTAAATCTACCGTTTGGGCCGCTGTCAGCTGGATACGCTCCACAAAGAACGTGCCTTGTTTCAGTTGACCAGATAGTTGGGATATTCCCCCATTTTGTACAATATTGTGCGTGTTCTAGAATTTTTAACTGGGAAAAACCAGGTGACTTGTCCCCACACAACCCACTCTTTGTTGTTCATTTCACAATTCCACTTTTTCCATCATAAATAGCGCGAAGGTGGACTGCGACTAGGCGTATGACAGCGATGAAAAAAGGCCAGTCTACTTTATAAATTTCAATTGTGGCGCGAAAAAAACCAAGGAATTAAGGCCCAGAACATTGCAGTTGTATATTTTTCGAAAATGATTCGTTCGAAGTTACCAACAAGACTAACGAGTTTCCAGATTTCTAAGGAATGCAATCTTCCTCCGTCCCAATTTCATAAATCGGACGATCTTTGTCGGGTTGGCTATTAAAGTTAACGGAAAATTATTTGTACAGAATTAAGGACAGATTGCTTCGAAATGGAAGGATTTATGTAAGGTCCTTCTTGGCCATTTACTAAAAGCGTTCTATGGCATTAAGAGAGGACTATGGAAAGAGAAGAGGCCTTTTCTGTCAATCAATCGGACACATGAATCTCATTGTATTCAACCATACAGAACAACAATGTCTGAGTGGACTAAAACTGAGTGGACTGAGAATAATCCCCTATTTGCTTGTCCTTTGAGGAGCAAGTCAGCACGTGACCAGGTGATGGGGATACTGTGATTGGAAGATAACTGGAGCGATAGCTTATCCAAGCGGGCATTATTCACCTTGCCGCTCGTGAACTTGGGGTTAAGCTCATTGTTTTAAACGTTCCGCTACTAATCTGGGTGGCATCCGTCGCTGATAGTATTGTGCCAATGCGATGAACTGACCGGGCAGCAGTACCGCGAGGAACTACCACACCACTATGCACCAATGATTGACGACGAGACGTATGAAACAAAACTGTCAAACACAGTGGACTATTCTGCAGTAGTGTGCGGTTTCAGAGAATGCTCACACAACACCTTAGACGGACGCCATTCATGTCTAGATTTTGGTGTCATTCTTTTACATTTTCCCCTCAGCTGTCCACGAGGAACTCTAAGAAAAACAGTAAAAAACAAAGAAGAGCTCTACAACGCCATGATTTTGCTTACACGCGAATGACCACAACTTACTATGGTGCGTAGAAGCATATCGTTACGAAGTTCGCCGATGAAACTGGATTGTCTCTGCAGTTTCCAACGGCACAACCGACATGTGTAACTCGGTCACTGAGAGCCTACAAGCCGAAGACGGTAGTGTGAGGAAATTTTGGAACACAAATCAAGATAATACTGTTGTTACAACCACTGGTATGTAACTGTCTTCAAATGAGAAATTGTGTGACAGAATATATAGTCAAGCTGATTAGCAGTACTCATATGCTAAGCGACTTAACTGCTCATTGTTAGACTTACTTGCTAGATCAGCTGATGGTGCGCAAAAAGAGGCTTATGTATTTTTACCACAAATATGATCTCAGCTCCAGCCACATTGGCAGTGAATAACTAAAGGCAGTTCTCTCATATTCCCCCATTTCACACTATCAACCCTCTCATCACTATCGTGAACACCATCGTCGCTCTCATTCCGATGGTACTCAAGGAGAAGTTCAGCACCGTGGAAATGGGGGCCTCATCGCAAACCACAAGGTCGTTTAATAACGACTGTATGGTATAAACCAGAGAGAAACAGTTCTTGAAACTCATAGATATTGTACTTTACTATGCAGGCAACTTCGTCCAGTCCTCTGAGAAATGATGGAAACTGACAGAGGCAGATGATCCTAGTGAAGTGGACTGCTTTTCATACTTTTAGTCTGTATTGGATGACTGCTGAAAATTGATCACAGATCGGTCAGACGAACGAGTGAAACCATTACAGTTGTTTCGGGTCTAAAAAATCTATGGGTACATTACTTACCATTCTGAAATCACGACAGGGGCATCTATTGCAGTAATTTGTGTTGAAGTCGAGTCTTTTATATTCACTGAACCATCTAGCGAATACGCTGTGTGAACGGAAAAGTAAATTTTTGTCACACGGTTGCGTATTTTCTCGAATTCCAAACTTAAAGGAACACAGGTATTTAACGATTATCTGAAATATCCGGATGTTCTTTTGCATGATCCACCAACCATCTCGACAAATACACTGATTTGCATATCAGAGTGTTCAGCAGTAAAAATGAATCAACCATATTTTTTAATAAATATCAGTAATTGAATAGTCTTGTTAGAAAGCCTTGGTTAGAAATAAGCTGTTTTTGCGTTGGTCTACCGTTTATGAGGGTGATTTTTCGGATTGTTTACGATACTGCTGTATTCATTAGGGCAGCTTGAAGAAACAGTATTTTCAATAAGGCGGCACAATTGTCCGCCACTTAACGTGTTTAAATAACAACAAAACTGATTCTTTGGGAACCTGCTAGAAATGGCAGATGAGTGGTTGCCACACGTTTGTCCATTTAAAGAATGCTTGTCCGCGTAGTTAACCTAAGGTGGTGGAATTAATCGCAACACTTTAAAGCGCAGCATCTTACATTTCCCGGATTTCTTCTCATCCGATCAGAGGAAACTGCTGATCAACACTGGGGGCGAAATGGACCAATTGGTTAGAGCGCGAATTTACTGACCGTGGTTCGTACCCGACCTCTGCCTCTCAACTTCCCCTGTCTAGGCTTGGGCGACTTGGCAGTTTCCCAGCCCTCCTGTCTCATTCATGTGGCTGATCAACACTAAATGGTGTTTTTTAGATGTGCCAAAAGTTTATCTGGCTTAGGGGCTGTAACTTCACCTGAGCATGTTCGAATGGAAAAGAGTACAGTGGTACACGCGACCATTTGTCATGTTCAAAGACCAATTTACTGTCAAAAATTCAGTCTGCACTTTATTGCACAACGGTCCCTAGCCAGACCAGGTGATTACTTTGGTTTTAGGGAAGTGAAAAGTGTTCCTCTGTATAAAGAAAATGCATAACGCAATTGCAGGAAAACCGAGGAACAAAATATCTCTATAACCATGGTTTTCACATCATTGTTGAAATCTTGGCGATTGTGTTGAAACAACGAAACACAGGATGTCCAGTGAGATAAGGATTTATGAATGATAATTATAAGTAATGAATAATTAATAAAGTATTTACTAATACTACTCGGTAATTAATCAATTGCGTTTCTTTAAAAAGTTTGCAGCTGCAGGAATTACGCGATTTCGTTCAGTGTCACGGCTGATTCTTACTTGTAGTAAGTATAGTATGTTTATATCCGCCATAATTTACCTTCGTGTTGTGAAGCCACCATCCTAGAAATACCGCTGATACCTACCTCTTGAAAGATGATTTTTTGTGATGATACTTATGAAACCAGCCCACCTGCAAGAAGAGACCAAAAGCCTATTTCCTCTTGTTTCTTCCTGACTCGTGAATTTAATTGTTCTGCATGTCTCAGCTGATGTTAACAGTACACTGTACTCCAGTGGGATACCTTTCAAACACTGTGGCCACAAAAAGAAAGCAAATGCAAGTTTTTCTCAAGAAGAAACTGACAAATTTATTGACCAACTACTTAGAGGCCGGGACATATCTTCTAAACAGTTTTTCAGCAGCATATCTGATATGTGGCTCAACATGTTGGAACTGAGCTTAACTCTCATCCTCTCTGTGAACAGCATTTAGTTCGTACTATTGAATAAAACGTGCATTTATGGTTTGCATGATATCGACTTCGATGGACGCTGTTTGAAAGTTGTGTGCGGTCGTTGGTAATCGGTAATCGACGTGATCGTTCTAGGAAGGACGAGCACATAGCATGGAAAGCTACATTTCAGCGGTCCCGTTGTTACCATTTATTCAAGTCTAAATCGCGATATCTCACCATTCCTCAAAACACATGCATTGCTTATACATCTCGATTTTTTGAAGCATAACGTATGTGGGATAGACCAGAATGGTGTTCTGGTTGTAATATATAAAAAGCAATGCTAATTAATGGTAATAATAGGCAATTTGAACTCCTAAAGACGTTTTGTGTTAACACCATTATAGGTGTTAATCTCATTCAGGACAATTGGGAATACTCGCGGAATGTCTTTTTGGATAAACTCATATTATAATATAGTGTACCTGGCGTTTCAAGGTTTACAGCAGTGCATGTCATTTCTCACCGTGCTAAAACTTAGACACGTTTACTTACTTTTTCGCCACATTACCCGTGGTTGCAGCTTGACCAACGCTGGAGAACCTCGTAGTTGTTCGTTCATTCATGGGAGCTTCATCGAGCGTGCACTTGCTTGCGTGTAGCTGAGCCTGTCTTTGAAGAGTGGCATCCCATATCTAGAATGAAGGACCACAGAACAAGGCCGCCGTAGATTTTACCCTAGGTAGTCACTGATTAGACTACAACCAAGCATTCGGAAGAAGAGACATTTGTACAGGAAACACTGTTCTGAAGACCGGATGTATTACACCACTACCACTTAGTCTGGAGCCGAAAAGAAATTCTATTATGATTCGGCTGTGCAATCTTTCTGAGGTGCAACACGCTCACCCCGTATGGTAGTGAACCAAAGTGTTACCTACTTACCAATGGCTTCAGACTCTTCGGAGGAGGTAGGCCAGGTACAATACACCTGCTTACATTTGCTCTGGCTTCGTTATGCTGTTCAAGCATAGTGGTTACCCACGTTGCAGTTGTTTGACCATTGACCTCTGAAGAGAGCACGACAATGGATAAAAGGCACAGTTGAAGAACACTCATAGTGCGATCACAATATGTAGGCTACTTGAGAGTATTGAATCGTGTGTCCGCACTTATATATATATAATATGCACACCAGGGATTATCAATTGATCAAACAAAGTTGGATTAAGTCCTGATCAGATGGCCTCAGAGTAATCTCCATAGAATAAACTTTGCAACGCTTTATTGAAATTGAAATATACTAGTTAGTTTCACTGCAGATTTGAGTGACGTATTACTAATCCCCATGACCTGAGGGTGATGTCCAACAAGAGAGTGGTTGCAGGAATTTGTGATCTGGTTACTAATAACGAGTGATAGTGTTTGATTGTGGGCTAGTAGCCAGTTCCGGGTTGATCGGCCACATCAAATAGGGCTGGTGAAAGTCAGTGCACAATGGGTAGTGAAGGTTACCGTTGGTTCTGAAACAGATGTGTTTCCACCTGAACGCTACTTACCCCGTGTGAATCCGAGGGAACGGGAAATTAGGAGGTGGGTCTTGGAACACAGTTTGCCGCATAATGTCGCAAAGTATCGATAAAACTGCAGTACTCTAACCAACTCTCATTCGTATACTAATTTGGTTTTAATGAAATAGCCTATTGATCTCAGCTGAATATCTCCTTTGCGTTCTTCATCAGCTGAACGCTCAACATAAGGCGGCTACATTTATAAGTTGGTACGAAATTTGAGATATCGAGATGTAACTTTTACTGAGCCGACTTGTGAATAGAGTGTTAGGTGCAGAATATTGTGATTGTTGTAACTCCAACAGAACGGTGGAAATGCATTGCAGGCATCTGTATCGTTCTTATTTCAAAGTCCAGTACGCTTCACTCTCCACGATTGATAATCCTCAACAAACATACACACTGAGTTCTACGACCTTGCGGTCCGACCATTTTTACCGGGAATTCAAAAGATTTCTAAGTGATGACCGGTCGTGGTTTTTGGACGAATTTTTACAACCTTATGATTTCTAAGTGATGACCGGTCGTGGGTTGTCGACGAATTTTTAACAACCTTATGAGTAATGTATTATGTTGTTTCTAATCGGTTTGTCACTTGCAGTGCACACGAATCTACAGCAAGTCCCCTTCCATTATCGGGGCCTGTCGGTTTGAGCGCACGGTTTGCGTGGTTCCTCTCACTCTTGTGCCAGTTATGGAATTCCGATTGCATTTCAATTTGAATGAGACGACGTTGCCTGCAGTCAATTAAAACAGCATATGTTTACATAATTCGAGCGAGGTAGTTTCTAACCACAAACAAGTGATGATCCTACCATGAGCTTTTTCAAGAGACTTTTGGAAGTCAACACACCAGGATAGCCATGAAAGCATAGTCCCAAGCGAAATCAGTGATGCAACTTGACTTCGAGATCTGACAAAGTCTTTGTAGCATATTTGGGTCGGTCGATTTACATACGTAAAATGCTCGATAACTTCCACCAAGTGAACATACAACTAACCAAAGGAGGTCATCATAATAAGAGAAAATACACCTTCAGAGGATTTACCCATTGAACTATCCCCATTTCATTTCACTACTGGCACTAGGTAGTGTTCTGACTCCAGTCGAATGAACCATTACATACGCTTTGAATGTGATGGATAATTCTACCCACTTGGAGAATTCAATGAGTGATCCCCAGAGTCATTCACGAGAAGGCAGTTTTATAAGAAATGTTCGCCTGTTGGGATAGACCACAACAGTGTCTGAGATATCCAAGACGCAGCATGACAAGTGGAAATTATTTGCTCCCTGTGACCTCCTCTCAGAGAATGTGACTGCATCGAAACAAAGGACACTTTATCTAGACAGCCATCTATCTAGCCTTGGTCCGGGTCTACATGTCACCGAACCGGATGATCCTGAATAGACCAACTACCTCGGGTCAGTTCTCTAATTTGGAACTATCAGAACTCTCCAAACGAAAGAGATCAACAGCATTTGCGGCAATTGAGCGTTCCTATTCTAACGCATCAGCAGGTGTTGCCTGAAATCGAAAGCCCACCTTGTCGCAATTTCAAAGTCGGTCCCATGAATCTTCTAAGAGTAATCAAGTTGAACCAGGCATGTGGTAGATTTATCACAAATAAAGTCCTATTTGATTTCCAACCGAATGGATTGAAAAGGGGAGCCAACGGAGATGAGGTGTTGCAAGTGAGGCCACTATATGCTATAAAGCCTAGATGCAGCACTTGCATCCTCACCGGGAGTCGTCAACAAGAATATCTAGGAGGAAACACGTGAAACCGTGGGTGTGCACCAGGCAGTGGAATAAAATCCATGCCATACTTGATAATTCCCCGGTTCTTCTGTGAACACGTGATTAAGTATTTCCATGGCACAACTGCTTCTGGCACATCTGCCTTACGTTTGATTTTCAGTGGTGTGTACATCTCAATACATGCGCTTGAGCTACTATTCTATACAATTCGCCAGAGCACTAGCAAAATCGAGGTAGTCTTCGAGGTAGTCACTCTAAAAGTGACAATACGATCATCGTGTTTAATTGATATCACCTTAATGTTGACATCTGGCTGGTACAAAGAAGACAGATAGATGGGACTTCAAGGTGGTATAAAAACATTTCCAATACAGTATTATCGCTTGATCAATAGGAGTGAAGTTGAAAATATGTCGCTCGGTTCCATCTTTTGTTGTTGATCAGGTGGTTGTTTAGCTGTTTGCCAGGATTGGCAAGGGGTTCACGAACGTTTCATCAGCAAACAGGGAAACGTTGTCACACAACCGCTCACTGAAAACACTTTCAGGTTTGACGACCAAGAGTTGTGAAGCCCAGCGGAAAGAACACCCGCCAATAAATGTAATCTCAATAAGCCTGCGACGTTTTCATTGACGTGCTGGAGAACCCACTAATATTCACAAATCCAGATCTCAAGCCTTACCATCTTCTGAAATCTTCAAGGTTACCTGACAACCGTACGAAATTCTGGTCAGTGTAGTGGTGGGTTCCACTACAGCCGCGATCAATTACCTCAAGCTACAGTGGAGAGCCGTGATCCTAATAAATAAAGAATGCGGGTGTTTTGCTTCGTTTGCCAGAGAGATAATCGCGCTGGATCTCCAAATTTCACAGTATTCCGTGTCCCTTAATTCTCGACGTCATGAAGGAGTGTGCGCTAATTGTTTAAGTAAGAATATTTTTGCTCCGAATGCTAATTTTAGTTGGCGACATTGTAAACGACAGGTTAGTAAGGACAAGTATGTTTCATTTTTTTGAGATCAAAGTATGTGTCTTTGTATCTATTTTCTGTCTTCATTCAGTGAAAAAGTAAGTGAAGTGATGAAAAAATTGAAAAACAGTCTGAGATCAGCGCAAAGGGAGGCAGATAATCTGAGTGTATGTACATAAGGCTGGCTGGCCTAGTCCATTTTCGCATTGACTCGTCTACCGATCAATCAAGTGCTAAGTTCTTTTTCTGCCTAGCTTGCATGTGGTCCGATTAAAATCAAGAGTTGGGATACAAACAGGTTTCCAAAACCTGGACAGAAGCAAATGTTGTGCTGGATTGAGGCCGAACAACGGACATCCTGGCTAGTAACTGAGCCCGTAACATGATACAGTCAAGATAATAGTCCGCAAAACATTTGTACATCTCATGGCGTTCGAATGGAAGAAGAGCTATTGGAATGAATCCAACAGTTGAACGGCTGCCGGGACACCTCGTCCATTTGCACAGGCTTTATTCAACTATTTTGTCATTGCCAAAAATACACCGATTCTCTCGCAGCCAACACTTGAAAAGATGATATATTTGCTAACAACAAACTGAAAATAACCATCACTACGGATCACACATTTGAAGCCGCAAAATGAAGAATAACTTTGAGGGGTCAGGCTAACCGAAGAGCATCCAGTTCGTGCTCAGTTGTAGTTGTGTTGACACCTGTGCCCACAGAACAGACAGTCGTTTCGCACTACGAGTAGGTCCGCAAGTATCACCACATCAGAAAACCGAGATGGACAGCAATCACCTATTTGGCTGCTTATCAGTCAAAACCCATCTTCCTCAACTTCAAGATATCAATTGACCACCTGCCAATCACCTGACCGGGGTTAAGAAGGGCTGTTGAAGAGCGTTACTCAAAAGACGCTCATTAGGGCAGTTGAACATTCCAAAAATCCATGTTCTAGCATTCAACAAGGCAGTGCTGATTACGCTTCGAATTTCAGTCTTATGCACGTTAAAAATATACCGACTCATACCAACTATTCTCTTTGCCGATCATATTGAAATTTTCTCACATTCTTTGGATGGATCTGCATGACTTTTGCTCACCGCTTTTAGTGTGCGTTTCATCCAGAACCAGACGTCTTTTGTGCACAGATAGTTTGGGGAATGAATGGACAGTTGTTGTGAGAACTAGGTGGAAAGGAACACACAAAAACAAACGCTACGTGAAGGAAATTTACGGCACGATGAATTATCTAACAGTCCGTTGCGAAGCAATATGCGGATTTTTTAAACCAGTAAGAAGCAGATGAAGGCAGAGCAGTTCTCCATAACTCGCCACACCAACACTACACAGCATCAATCTTCTGTGGTAACAAGAAACCCCCATGGGTATTTTCCTGTGAGTGAAATTATATCCCCCGCGGTTTGACTTGGAAGAAGATCAAAGCACTCACCAAAACCCTATCAGTCCCATTCATCTTGCGTGAATACAAAATAGCTTCTTGTCATACCATCGGATAACATGACCGAATGGCACGTGTACAGTGATCCTTCAAATGAGATAACATCAGAATAAATGCGGCTGACTAACCTCCCGGCCAGTTGTTACCTTTGGAAAACCTACTGAATAGAGAATGGCTAACGAGACATTATCGGGGATATCGCAATGCAGTATTCGTGAGTCCCCACATCTGAAAAACGTTGGCTAATAGACCGAATTAAAACCCATCAACTTCGAACGATTTCCCTCCGTGAGCGTTTGAAACCAACCGATATACTGTACTCGATGCAGAAAAGTGAGCACAAATTTGCGCAGGG